AGCGATATCGCATGCCAATCTGATGAACAAATACTTCAACCCCAACTTGGTGTACACATAAGAGGATTTCAGACGTCACTTCCTAATGAGGCGTCAAGTCTTCAAACGTTTACTTCGTGATGTCCAGCAGGTCAATCCATACTTTCGACAGAAGTGGGACAGAGCAGGCCACCCTAGTTTCTTACCTCATCAAAAGGTTATTATTGCACTCCGAATGATGGCTTATGGCTCCCCAGCTGATTCGATGAATGAAACCCATGGTATGTCTGAGCCTACATGCCTTGATACTCTTGAACAATTCTGTGACACAATTTTTCAGGTCTACAGAGACGAGTACCTCCGCGAGCCAAATCAAGAAGATCTGAATTGGCTCCTTCGCAAAGTTGAAGACCGTGGGTTTCCGGGCATGATAAGGTCATTAGACTGCATGCATTGGGATTGGAAGAACTGTCCCACAGGATGGCAATGAGGCTTTAGCGGAAGGTTGAGAAAGCCAACTGCTGTGTTAGAGGTCGTTGCCTCATATGACACATGAATCTGGCATGCTTTCTTTGGAGTCCCTGAATCCCAAAATGACATTACAATTCTTAGGTGTTTACCCTTCTTCAATAACTTAACGGAAGGTAAAGCACCTCAACTTGACTACTACATCAACAATCGTGAATACAATATGGGGTATTACTTGGTAGATGGCATCTACCCAAAGTGGGCAACACTTGTCCAAGCAATTCCAAACCCTAGGAATGATGCAGAAAAGTTGTTTACCTTACACCAAGAGGCATAATGGAAAGATGTTGAGAGAGCTTTCAGTATTCTACAAGTACGGTGGAAGATCATTAGCGAACCGGCAAGAGGGTGGAGTCTAGAAAATTTGGACTCCATCATGATGTCTTGCATCATATTACACAATATGATAGTGAAGGATAAGAGAGATGGGTATATTGATGGAGAGTTCGATGATGACCAAAAAGATCCAAATAGGTCAAGAAGGGCTCGTGCAAAAATATATGATGGGCCTAATTTGCATTTCAATCCAAGAACTGGTAGTATCTCTATAAATGAGTACATGAGGCGCTATAGAATGATACGTTCTCGTGCCACAAACAAGTACCTACAACAGGATCTTGTTGCACATCTTTAGGCCAAAAGAAGCATGGAGTAGGCGTTTAAGTTTTATGTTGTTAAATGTTTTTAAAAATATTTTTTAAGTTTCATGTTGTTAATTTTTTTTTATGTTGTATAATTTGTATGTTGGTTAATGTTATTTAATGTTGTTTCATGTTACTTAATTTAATTTAATGTTGTATAATGACTTAGGAAGTTATAGGAAAAAAATAATAATTTAAAAAAAATATGAAACAAATTTTGTGAAATATAAGTTATAGGAAAAAAAAATAGAATTTAAAATAAAATGAAACAAATTTTGTGAAATAGAAGTTACAGGAAAAAATGGAATTTAAAAAAAATATGAAACAAATTTTGTAAAATAAAAGTTATAGGAAAAAAATAGAATTTAAAAAAAATATGAAAAATAGAAGTTATAAGAAAAATTTTGTAAATAAAACTGTAAAAAAAAAAAATTCAAATGCAACGGCTAACTGATGTCAGCTAGCCGTTGCATTTGAATTTTAGCTTAAGGATTCCTATCAGCTATAACCAACAGGAATAATGATTTTTCTGGCCAGCCCTCTAGCCCTTTCAGATTCCGTGGGGTCCTCTGTCACCTAGCCGTTGCATTTGAATTTTAGCTTAAGGATTCCTATCAGCTATAACCGATAGGAATAATGATTTTTCTGGCCAGCCCTCCAACCCTTTCAGATTCCGTGGGGTCTTCTCAGATTCTACGAGCCATCTGGCCTAGCCTTCGATTGGAGACGGTTTTCAGGCTGTTTTCGCTCCTCTGGCCTTCTAGACCCTTCGGTTGGAGATAGTCTAAGGACTCGTTTAGATGTTCTTTTAAAATGATTAAAAGCGCTTTTAGAGAAAATATTTTTGGGTTTCAAAGCACCTTAAGTGCTTTCTGCAAGAATCACCAGTTATGTGTTTCTTCCAGGAAGCACTTTAAGTGCTTTTCCAGGATTTACTTGTATCATTACTAATGATTGGTTCTAAAAACATTTTCACCAAAAGCGCTTTCAGTAATTTCAAAAGCGCTTTCAGTAATTTCAAAAGCGCTTTCAGTAATTTCAAAAGCATATCCAAACGAGCTCTAAACCATTAAAAACCTTTTTTTGAAATGAAGGGAACCATTAAATTAAAGAAGTAGCAATAATGCACCGAATAATCTACTTCTATTTCTTGTTATATTTTTCTAAAAGTCTTTTAAAAAACTAATTTCTAAAACCTTGTTTGAGATTTCCTTTAACAAAATGTTAAAGGACAACGAAAAAAAAAAGACCATACTTACTTTTTTGAGATATTTGTCAGTGTCTCTAGAATACGGGGTAATACATCACTTGTCATTATATAAGTGAGGAAATATTTATCTTAAAAATCAACAACTTAAAAAACAAAACTTCCCTTCATTATATAATGACCCGTCATATACCACCAGTGTTTTGGGCATAATAAAAAATTTCTCCATTTTTCTTGTATAATTGTGTTAACCCTAAAAATTACCAAGCCTACGTGACGCGTAGGCTGAGTAATTAATAAGCTAACTACATCTTTAGGTTATGTGCAGGGCTCGCCAACTAATCGGTCGAGCTCAGTCGGGGAGTAAAATTTGTTGGTGTTGCGTTGAGCGCGCAGCTTGACTTCTTGACTTGCGATTGCGGTCGAGAAAGGAACACGTCTTGGCCTTCAGGTTCTAGAGCCTGAAGACAAGGCTGCTAGTCTTGCGAAGTTCACTAATTGTCGACACCGGGTTCGGTCACGGTGACTATATTCGTAAAAGTATAAGCACGCCGAACTGGCTCCAAACTATACGGACACAAGTACTCAAAAGAGATATATGTCTTGATGGTGAATGTGGTTTGGCCGTCAGAATGCCGAATTCTAAAACTTACTTGTGAATATCTAATCATAAAACAACTCAGCATTCAATGCGCCGAGCTCAATAATCTGTAACACCTCACTTCACCGAGAAGGCTAATAAGATGACCTCTACCAATAAGGATTCGAAAATCCTTCTCGACCGAGACTTGGATAGATAATCAGTCGGCCTCGATGCAATGCTGTTTATCCAAACTGAAGGTGCTCCGTGGTCGGGTGATTCTACGACAATAGTGATGTTTATCCAAACTGAAGGTGTTCACCGGTTGCCTTCATGGTGTTGTTTATCCAAACTAAATATGTGTCGGTGAAAAGGAAAATAAAAATCTCAAGGTTGTTGAGAGGTTTCGCGTAGAACGAGAGTTTGCGTAGGGCAGTTTGTGTGTTGAGTTGGAGGCCCTTCATCTCGTTGCGGTCCGTCTTGTATTTATAAAGCTTGCATGTTTGACGACTACCTTGTATAATTGCATTCCGAGAAGTACGAAAGCTGCCAATAACATTCCTAAGAATATCCTTTAATAACCCCTATGGATTACCATTACACTATTTGGGCTTAGCTTGCATATAATCCAATCTTATTTTCAATTCCTTCATGTGATGCCATTTGACAAGACTCTTTGCAGGATGCCAAGGATATTATGTCCCACCATCACTTCATAATCTTTATTCATGCATGCAAGCTAATCTTCTGCCACATCACATCACCATTTCCTTATCCCATCCGTAGGCTAAAGCCTATCATGACCATCACATCCCAGCCATGTCATGTGATAAGAGTCCCAACTCGAACTGTGTTGTTTACTTCCAGATCGCAGATATAGTTTGCATCTCATTTATCTTGGATAGGAAAACGTTAAGATAATTCCTTATTAAAAGATAATTATTATGATAAAACAATAATAATATCCTTTAACAATAACAAAATTATCTTCACTTTCTCATTCAACGGTCTAAAATTATGCTCATTCAACGGCCTCGATTACTCAAACCGATAGTGTAAAATTGGGTCCAAACATTGCCCCCCAGTTTCCTTAAGCTTCGGCTCATAAGTCGAATGGTCAAGGAAATTATTCGTTAATGCATATCAAAAGTTTCCTCAGCTTCTCCTAGATGGCCTTGAAACTCGTAACTTCGTTGAATGACCAAGAAAAACATATAGCCGAGAACTACCGAGAAACCACCGCTGAATAAAAATTTATTTGGAAAACTAATTTCTAAAATTCCATTCCTTTGACCAAAATTTGAGATGAGGTCCACCGAGAAATTAAAACAAATCCCCTATTACTGTAGATATCATGCTATGGAAGAGACCCATGATTTTACTGCCGAGCACCAGCTCATGTTCGCTGAGCTCGGCAAAAGTTGGCCGAACAAATCAACAATAAAACCCAGATTCGGCTGACACTAACTCATATTTGTTGTTTCTGTTGTGGCCTGGCAAATGAGGCCCACATTTTTTCTCCAGTTTCTTTGCCTTCAAAAGTTAAGTCCATAGACTTGGTTACATAACTTGAAAAGTATATTTCGACGAGTTGGCCGAGGTCGGCCTAAATAAATAAATAAAACTTCTGTTTTTCCACTACAAGAAAACATGGCTTAGGTGGCGATAGACATTTGTCACATAAACATGAAAATTCGTCACATTTGATTATATGTGACGAAAATCCAGCGTCACTATGTTCGTCACGTATACAGTGTCACCTATAGTTTATGTGACGAATTTTACATTCATCACATATTTTTAGTATTAGTGACGCCAAATTCGTCACTTAATAACTTTAACTGTGACGAAATAAGCGTCACCAAACATAAAAGTCAGTGACCTATAAGTTTGTCCCATAACAAATGTATAAGTGAGGAATTTATTGTCACCCAATTTGATCCTAGAATGCTATGGCTAAGAATAAGTAAGACTGAAAGTGTCACATATTCCTTTGACATGTGGCGCAATTTGCGTCACATATTCATTGATCAATAAGTTAGATTACATTCAATACATACACCAACTGTATATCTCAAAAGCTAACATAAACATCCTAACACCTCTAAGCATATTGAGATGCTAACAAGATTCTAAGGCATTGAGTCGGTAACAAAACAAGTATATCGAGTGCATATTTGAAACCAACAATACATAATATAAGTCATCAACCATGTCATGGTCTTTAGTTTAGCACAAGTATCATTGTCCTTTGTAAGATCACCATCACTACCTCAAGTGCTTCTTGAATAATTTCTCCTTTAACTCCATCCTTCTTTTTCTTCATCTTATCCTTACATAATAAAAGAGAAGAAAATAAACATTGGTGTCTAGAGAATAGCAGATGCATTGAGAATTTAAATAACAAAAGAGGATAAAATAAGAATTGAAGGAATAGTTAACAATAAGAAGAATGAAACATAATAAACGAGCCTATCTAAATTACACAATGAGTTTTATATGTACTTTAATTTCATTACCTTGCGAGCCTTCCTTGCATGTTGGATGAAATGGTTTTGCCCCTCCCTTGTGCTAATACTTTTGTTTCTTACAATTATATGAATTTTGCTTGAAAACATCCTACATTAAAAGGCCATTAATTAACAAGAAAAACATATCTAGTTTCATACCATAGACTACTTATTCACTGTAATTTTAAAACATTCAGCTTTTACAAAGATCAAATTGATATCACTACTAATGAAGGCTAAATTGATGTCACTACCTCTGGAGATGTTGTTGGCCTGCCCTTGGCTTGCAATCCTTCAGTTGTGCTATCATATCCTCATTTTCCTTTTGTGTATCATAGCCTAGTTAGTAAGTTATCAAGACTCCAAATGTCAGGACTAAATAATCTACTAACAAAAGATAAAAGTAACAAAAAAACTACTTAAATTATAATTAAACTTCTAAACCAATCTGCAATTGCAAGAATATGAAGATCTACCAAAATTTAATAAAAACCCAACTCCAATACCATTTCTAAAAAACAATAAGACCAAAATCTAACTTAGTATAGAAAAAAAAAGGTGAATAACATTTTAGTTTTCCAAATTCAATATCCTTCAAAAGGTGAGTTTTGGAAGTTGTGGCTATCACTTCAGTTACCAAGTATGTTGATAAAGTGAGATTAAGATGAAAATACTAAAAGCAGAACAACCCCAAAACTTGCAGAGTATAAAACCTATACCGACAACATCTTGGTTTAAAAACACAAGTAAGAGAACTACCCTTGTCAAAAACCATGACCAACCTGCAAACAACACAATCACAACAACAAATTACTTTGGAAATAAAAACATTAGTGTGCTTAATACAAAAAATAGGCAAAAGAGGCATAAAGAAGATCTAAATCAGGATACCATTTTCCATGCAGATAAAGTTTTCAATAATTAAAATTTTACTCTGCACTGGATCTCATACAACCAAAATGAAACCAACTTTGGTATTACAAAGGTGGTTGTGCTCTTACTAAACAACCCAATTGATATATTCACATGAGGTAATGGCCTCCAGCCAATAAAAGAACAGAAAAAACACATTGGATGAATTTTGAGCAAGTCATATGGTCACTAGTTGGAAGAATTACTTAAAGATCAGTGCAAAGTCATAATAACCAAACTATGACAAAAGCTTTCAACTATTTTGTATCTAACTTAAAAGGAAGTAAAAGCCAAAGCTTAAACAAAACTGTGGAAATTTTAAGTTTGTTTGAATGTATTTTTCATAGATTGATTAAATGTACAAGGGGGGATATATAATGAGGTAAGGTTACAAGCAACCCTACCTTGGCAAATCCTACTAACCTGGTAAGCCCTAAAGTTATCACTCCTTAAATTAAGGGAGTGCAGCAACTAGCTAGCACACAACTATCAACAAGTCATCTAGATGTCAATCTTCCTCAAATTAAAGGATTAGACTTAATAGAGAATCCCATGGAAAGAGGAAACATAACATCTAACAGCATCAGTCATCCCTAGGGGTGGATTTTTTTGTCAAATTGCCATGCCAACCGAATTGCCAACCGTACCATACCGATTTTGTGCCAAATTTTTTGTACCAATCAGTAATGGTACGGTATTGTACCGTACCAAAATTTCATGGTACGGTATTGGTAATGGATACCATTACCACGGTATTACTGTACCATACCGAAAATACAATATAATATATCATTTATAAATTATATAATAGATAATTAAATAACACATATTTATAATGTTCCAATAATTTGAAAATAAAACCCTACTTATATTAGCATTGTTGTTGTTGACTTTGATCTCTTGAAATTGTGGAAATCAAACAAAAGAGTTCCTAATTTTTTCACAAATAGCCAAAATATCTTTGTAACCCCCACTTCTATTGTTGCTAGTGAAAATGCATTTAGCCTAAGGAGGAGGGTTGTGGACCCTTTTAGGGTATCCTTGACTCCTAAAATAATGGAGGCACTAGTGCGTACTAGTGGTTGGCTTAGGGCAGATGAAGTAAACTTCTACAAGAAATCAACGAAAGATATGCTTCAATTTTACAAGGAAATGGAAGAAGATAAAACAAGAAAGATATGCTTTAATTTTTTTAGTAAATTTGTTATTAAATGGTTTTCAACTTTAATTCTTCTTGCTACTAATTAATATGTTTTCTTTGTTTGTAATGTAGGCTTGACACAAACTCAATCTTCTACAAGTTCAATGCCTCCTCCAAAAGCTTCAACATCTCAAGCTTGAATAACTGATCAATGAATTCTCCTTTTTGAAGTTTACTTCCAATTTTCATTTGGTTTGAAACTTTAAATTCTATTTGGATTGTTAACTTCTATTTGTTTTGGTTCGTAACTTCTATTTGGATTGTAAGCTTAATTTTCATGATGAATCTTGATGCATCATTTGAATTATTATGTGTGTGAATTGTGAATGATGAATTTAATCTATAATGTATGAGATAAAGGTACAAAAAAAAAAAGTTTTGCCCTTGAATTGGGTTAAAAAAACAAAAACAGATTTTGTCCCAAAATAAAATGGCAACTACCATTGCCATACCATGCCAACCGAACTTTTGGCAATACCGAACTTCGGTATACCGAAAGTTTGGTATGGTAATGGTAATAGATTTTACCAAACCAAAAGTTTGGTACGATAATTGGTACAAGGGTTTCGGTACGGTAACCGTACCGAACCCACCCCTACCCATATCGTCTAATATCCATATGCAGCATCAGTCACCCCATATCGTCTAATAAGAACTAAGTAGCTGAAAATATATATAGGAGAAATATATGTGTTTCTTAAATCCTTCTTTAAATTGTTTTTCATGATTTTCTAGGACCAAATAATAACACCAATAAATAGGAAAGACATTGCCACTAATAATTAGAAGAAAGAAAATCATCTATGATAGGGAAATCATTTTGCTTGCCCAAGAGACCATTTTCAATCTTTTTCAAATGCAAAGCACTTAAAAGAATTATGGTTCAAATTTCAGAGCAATTCAAAGCCAAATTAAACAACTTTCCTTTTTAATAAATGGTATCACCAACTCAAAATTTTTTACCTTCGATCACCATGTAAAACCAATAAGCCCAGAAAAAAAATACCAACTTGCAAGTTCATAACAAACAAAAAATTGAAATAGAAAGACCAAATAAAATAACTTATTAAAGCCTCCATATGTGCAAATAAATCATTTGAATAATCCCCAACGATTACCCAGAATAAAATAGTCAGGGACAAATACATATAATCTCACAAGGAAACATAATGTAGCAAGAAAAAAGAAGAAATTTTGACAACTTTCTTTGCTAAAGTTATTGATTAATGTTCCTTCCTTCAGGTTTTTTTTTTTTTTTTTTTTTTTTGTAAATTTGTGAATGTAAACTTGCAAGTTCCAAAAACAAATAGAAAAAGCCAGGGATATATATATACACACACACACACACACTATTTATATATAAATCTAAAAATTAAAAACTAAATTTTACCCAATTAAAGTCCTTGAAAGATGGATGAAGAGGTCAAGGGCTGCTGGCGTGATCAATTTGGAGGCAATTACCTGCAAATCCAAAACCCTAAGTTAAAAAGAATGATAAAAATTGAATTCGTTAACCATTTGGCCACATAGTGGTCTCGTAGGCGTGGAGAAATTTGGCATAGATTTATGTAGTTGGTGGAAAGGGTTTCTATGGTTCTTGGGTTTTCGGTGGTGGCGCAAGAAACTAGAAGAAGGTCGAGATGCGACATGGTGTGGATTTAGCTTGTTGGTTGAATTGGTCTCTAGGGTTTTTGGTTGTGAAGTGTGATAGACAACGAATAGATGAGAGAGGGTTTGAGCATTTGGCTTAGAAGATCTCGATAATGTTGCGATAGAGAGAAAAGAAGATTAAGAGACGCGTCAGTTGGCTTGGGTCATAGCGATGAGAAATGGGAGAAGTCTGAGAGACAGAGAAAGTGAAAGCGAAAGAGAACGGTTTAGAATTTAGATGGGCTTTCTCAAATTTGTTTAATACTTTACTATGTTTTTTTTTCTTTTTTTAATTATTTACTGTTGGAAAAGTGATGAGTCACTTTCGTCACCGAGAATACACATATGTGACCCTTTTGCAATTCCTCACATATCATACTTCGTTAGGGCGCCATTGTTCCTCGCCATCGAATTTACTAAGGACTTCAAAAAATTTGTGTCACCTCCTTTTCATCTTAAAAGGTATAAAATAATTTAAGTGACGCTTATGATTTTCGTCACTCCATTCTAGAATATAGGACGTATTTATCGTCACCTAAGTGTTCTCAAATTTCATACCTAAAAATCTAGTCATGCGTGACGCTCTGAACAATTCGTCACATATAGAAAAAATATGTGTTGAATTTTTGGGCGCCACATAAAATTTGGTCACCTATTCCATGTTTTCTTGTAGTGTCCCAATTGTGTTCTGACATGATATGAAAGCAAACCATGACTCCTTACTAGCCTGGTACCTTGAAGCAAATCATGATCCTCACGCCACATGTCCACAGGCTGAAGCCTACTACCTATTTTGAAGAAATTTGGGGGATGAACTCCAAAAACTGGCCTCAAATGTTCTTTTATTAGGTAGGTCGAGAAACATCGGGACGAGAAAAACCACTCTTGGCAGCTCACCCTGCCCACCAATCATGAATATGATACTGGTAAAAAAAAAAAATATATATATATATATATAAACCCAATGTTAGTAACGTAGCAAATAATCCTAACCACCAACCCAATGTTAGTAACGTAGCAAATAATCCTAACCACCAACTACTAACAACTTTGCCCCCTTATTTTCTTATGCAGCGGGTTGAAAGGCCGAATGGTTAAGAAAATACTTTATTATTATTTTTTTAGATGAAAATAAAAGTGGCCGAACTATAATCAAGAGGAGGCCAACGATGCTTTATTCCGAGCCAAGATCTTTTTGTATCAAAATTCTCAATTTGATTTCGTTTTAGGCCTAATAGAATAACATCTCCAAATATGTTTGGCTTGACAAAAAAAAAATTTATCGGCCGCCGAATGTGTTGAACAATTATTATGCCCCCCATGCATAATTACTTCGTTAATTTTGGCTTTTAACTCGAGTTGCTCAGCCGAATAGGATTGCTCCATATCGACTTTATCACCAATAATCATATCAATTGATGTGGTTTTTTCGTCCGAAGCCGTGTATCGGCCTTGTTCATCATTGGAACACTCCTCTGACGAATTATTTTTTGAGTCAAAATTTGGCTCAGAAACTTGAACTTTTTCTTCTAGGCTTACCACACTTTCAGTCTCGATCAAAACAATAGGTGGCCTAGGTTTTTCTTCGGTCAAATGAACAATTTTATTAGGTTGAAGTTTGATTGTGGCCGAAGCGGAAAATTACCCCCCGGCCTTTGGACATAACCGTTTTTCAAATGGAATTGATCCGTAGTAAAA